TTCTTAATCACTTGCATGAACAATTTCAGAAATTTTTTTCCATGCAAATGCTTCTTGCATGAGACCCATTAAATTTAAAACAGACTTAAAATCTGTTTCCTTCCCAAAACTGTCAGTCCAATTAACCCCTTGTGGTCAGACACTGAACTCACACCTGGGTGCCGTAACAAAATTTCTTCACAATATAATAATGACAATAAAGATTTTTGATTATAACAGGGAAAAAAATCTGAAATCTAGATTTTACTTGTAATAGGGAAGTTAGTAAATATAGTACATTAGAGTCTCTAGTTTGAGAAACAGACGCCTCACAGGTCCCAAACTGGCATCTTCATTAAATAGTAACTGCAAAACACCAGTGTGAGCATCTACAGTGAAGAGACGGCAGCAGGATTCTGGGCTTCAGGGCAGAGTGGCAAAGAAAAAGCCATATCTGAGACTGGCCAATAAAAGAAAAAAGATTAAGATGGGCAAAAGAACACAGACATTGGACAGAGGAAGACTGGAAAAAAAGTGTTGTGGACGGATTAATCCAAGTTTGAGGTGTTTGGATCACAAAGAAGAACTTTTGTGAGATGCAGAACAAATGAAAAGATGCTGGAAGAATGCCTGACGCCATCTGTTAAGCATGGTGGAGGTAATGTGATGGTCTGGGGTTGCTTTGGTGCTGGTAAGGTGGGAGATTTGTACAGGGTAAAAGGGATTCTGAATAAGGAAGGCTATCACTCCATTTTACAACGCCATGCAATACCCAGTGGACAGCGCTTGATTGGAGCCAATTTCATCCTATAACAGGACAATGACCCTAAACACATCTCCAAATTGGGAAGAACTATTTAGAGCTGAAGCAGGCAGCTGTTATTCTATCAGTAATGGAGTGGCCAGTGCAGTCACCAAATCTGAACCCCATTGAGCTGTTGTGGGAGCAGCTTCACCCTATGGTACGCAAGAAGTGCCCATCCAACCAATCCAACTTGTCAACATATTCTCATTATCAGTGCGTATGAAATCGTACAAAAAGTTATGCACACTATTTCGTACATTTTGGACGTTTTTCCTCAAAAAACCACATCAGTGTGCATGCGCTGGCAGACAGAAAAAAAAAACCAGATCCGCGGACGGACGTAAAAATGGGAAAAACAGTGCAATCATCACTTATTAATGTCTCTAACTACGTTGCTTGCTGTTTTATATCTTATGGTTAGGGTCAGGGCTAATTGTAATTTATATTCTATATTCGTGAATGGTGCGTCAGATGCGCATGCCCATACGATGAAAAAAACGTCCAAAACGTAAGAAATTACGGTGCATAACTTTTCGTACGATTTCATACGCACTAATAATGAGAATAGGTTGAACTTGCTAGCTGCTTCTGGAAGCGTGGGATGCAATTTCTCCAGATTACCTCCAAAAATGAACAGCTAGAATGCCAAAGGTCTGCAATGCTGTAATTGCTGCAAGTGGAGGATTCTTTGACGAAGCAAAGTTAAATGTAAAAAAAAAAAATTTTTCAAATACAAATCATTATTTCTAACCATGTCAATGTTTTCACTCTATTTTCTATTCATTTCACAACATATGGTATATGCGGTTCTTGTCCGGAGCGCCAGATCTCCAGGCACCGCTGGCCAGCAGCACTATTGGAGATTTATGTCTATCTCCTCCAAAAACTCCTGGTTCAGCCTTGCTGTTTGGTTGACGCTCTGGCATCTAGTGGCAAAAGTCAAATTTCCTGTACTCCAGTATCAAACGCCCAGGTGCTCAGTCGCTCAGATGTCGGTCTAAAAGCACCATTAGATTTCACAACTCTACTTACATCCACTTGAGTGAGTAACTCAGTTGTTCTGGTAATAAATGAGAATGGTACCAGATTCTTTTTGACCACTCCATGCATTACAGTCCACAAAACCACTCTCCATCCTGGTGGTGCACCGTGGATGTAGTCAACATTGTGTTTCACAGACACATGGCGGAGGACTGCAACCAAACTGACATGTACAGGAGCAGGTAATGTAGAGTCTGGGCAATGGTGGAGTTTGCTGTGGTCAGAGAGCCATTGTCTATACCATAAATATTATTTGTATTGGATTACAGTATACCTACAACTTCTTGAATGACATTAGTGCCTCAAACCTAATTGAACATAAAAAATATGTCAAGTGACAGAAGTTTTTCTGTTTTTACATTGTATTGAACTCAATCATTGTTTAATCCTGATAATTGCTACTGTATATGTACCAAATATTGTAATGACATTAATATGCCTCCAATACTACTATGGGAGGACTAAAATAAAAATACATAGAGATTATCCTTAAGTTTAGTAGCCTTTGAGACATGTTTGTATATCAAATGTAGGTTAAATGAACACAAGTGTATTTTTATTCAATTTAGTGCTATCTTATAGCATTATTCATTCAAGTGCAGTTATATCTCATAACTTTTGGGCACTGGCTCCTTATTTCATACTTCTTTTTAATGTTCAATGTTTAGAGTAAGTTTTTATATCTGAGCAAAATACAGGTTAGGCACTCCACCTTAGCTGTCATACTATACATACAGTTAGAACTTTTTAGCATGGACAACATAACATTCTCCTAGTTTATCTTTGTAATGCTTATGGTGCCTATTGTCAGAGAGAAGTACAAATACTTCGTTACTGTACTCAAGTAGATTTTTCTGATATTTTTACTTTACTTTACTACTTATTTTTATGGCGACTTTTTACTTCTACTCCTTAAATTTTTACACAAATATCTGTACTTTCTACTCCTTACATTTTAAAAAATTGGCTCGTTACTTTAGTTTTGAATCATTTCAATGGAGTTACCGTTATTATTTTTCACGTCATCAATACCAAATTCAATCTAATAGGATGGGAATCTACGTTGCATTTGACGCACCACTACAAGATGAATCGACAGATTCGGCGGTATTCATTGGCTGCAAGTCATTGCAGCTTGGTGGCGGTGGCGTTAGCATAGTAGCATGGACGACGAGATGATTGAAAATGAACACAACCGAGATCTAGTCCTATTGGCAGACATCCATTTAAAATGTAGGCAACGGCATGAAAAAAGTGGTTTCTACTTTTACTTTTATACTTTAAGTAAATTTACAAGCCTGTACTTTGTTACTTTTACTTGAGTAAAGAAGTTTAATCAGTACTTCCACTTTTACCAGAGTATTTTTTAACACAAGTATCTGTACTTTTACTCAAGTACGGAAAGTGAGTACTTTTGCCATCTCTGCCTATTGTGCAGGGTTCCAAAGTTCAAATTTGATTGCGCTAGTAGATATAATTTTTGAGGTATGTACTGTGACGGAATTGTACCTGATTTAGTATCATTTTTTGGGATGGAATTATGATGATGCAATGCTCCTTCAGCTGAGGATCCTTCAGTTGAAAAAAACTAAGTGGGGGCACATTTCAGTGTATTCAGATACGTTTTAGTACTTTGTGATTAATGTTGTTAATTGAAAAAGTTTTTGAGGCTGCCACATTTTTACAGCAGATCAATCCACAGCCTGGATTTCCAGACACTCTTATGCACCATGCATTGTTTTAACATCCTGAGTTTGGCCTAAAACATTTTGCCCCAGGTTTCTTTTTGAGTGTAGACACATTATATATGAAGCCCCTGGTTTCTTAATCTTTGCAGCTCCTACAAAGCTACGGTACAGTACCAAAACATTGTACTGTGGGATGTCCTGTGTGGTATAGTTTTATAGCTGGTCTTACATTAAACCTATCCATTTCTTTATATCTGCCCTGGCTCATTCATGTGGTTTTGCCTTTCATGATACTTTATCATTATTCATTTAAACTTCTGAGGCCTTCAAAAAAGATATTTAGGTTGTCGGTCTTCTATTTAATCATTTTGTCTCTATCAGGCCACAATTATGATTTGAATTTTGTATTATTGTCCAGCTCTGTTATCATTTACTACTTTTGTGTTTGTCTATTACAACATCCTACAAGATTAAAGCTGATGTTTACAATAAGAAAAAAGTTAAAAAGTTCAAGGATAGTTTTGTATGATACTGTAAAGGTATTGACCATATGTTTAGCTAAAGAAAGAACAGTTTGAATAGAACAACTAACTTTCACTCATTTCACACTTCATGAGTTTTCTTAAGCTGCAAAAAGAAAAGGAACCCTTTGTCACAGGGGATTCTGAAGACGGCAAGCCTTGTGAATGGTGAAATTTTATTCTAGTTGCTCTACAGAGAGAGAAAGAGAAAGGGAGAGATAGAAAGAGAGATAACAGTGCCACTGTACAGAAGAGCTCTTGTGAAATTCACACAAAAAAATATTATTTTTACTCTTTATAATTCTCCATGATAATGTATTTCAGTATGAATTTACAAGCGATTTTTACAGATGTAATTTCTAAATATATTCAAAATAGTTCCTTAAAAGTCTTTTAGGAAGTATTAGTTTTTATCTTTTTCTTCTTTTTCTTTCTTTTTTTTATTTTTTTTTTAGAAAAAAGCTAATTTATTACAGCAAACAATAAAGAATGAGGTCTTGTATCTTTGGAGGGATAGCAGACTCAAAGCTGACCGTAGGTTTTTTTTCCCTTCTTCATCTTCTTTAGAGTTGAAGTCCTGACACACATGAAGGAGATGTAAGAGAGAAGCAGAGCTGGTGATACAGTATTTTTCACCTGCCATCAGAGGAAAAGGGAGGATGTCCCTCCACCCCAAGCAAAGTCTGACCCCCACCCCTAACCCTTCCCAATGCAACCTGCTACAACACTGGACAAAACATGGATTGATAACAACCAGTCCACCAGCATAAGTCAACAAAAGGAGGGGGGGTCAGTTATTTGCCTTCTCCCTCAAAACAGCAGCATTTTCATTGTGTTAAACACAGATATATATTTTTTCTCTCAATATGTATATACTCACATCTGGTTACAACATATTAGTGATCATAACATCATAAACAAAATGAACAAAAAAAGAACAAACGAAAACAAACTTATTACATCTGGGGTTGCATGCTATCACCTCATTTTTTATAATTAAATGTAATTAAAATACATTTTTGCCATTTAAAAAGAGCAGAGTTGTCATCACAAGGGTGGGTTTTTGGGTGCATGTTTTAACAAAAGTCAGCATCTGTTTACATGATGGTTGTGTAAAAGTTGAACAAATTGAAAGAACTGTTGTGAATTCATGAAACAAAATGCTGCCTTGTTGATATTTTCAATGTGCATATTGTTCACTTGACAGCTCACACAGGCAGCATGTGGAGATAAATATGATTATAACCATAATGAATGTGCATGTAAATGCAAAAAAAAAAAAAAAAAAACTGGAAAAAAAGGGTTTAAGTTAACATAAGGGAGGCGTATTTGGAAAATGAGAGGTTCACCATAGTATCTCACAAACAGTGTTATGACAGATATCATTAAAAAGTAGCAAGGATGGAGCTTTTGTTGAAACACAGTGGCAAATGCAGTCAAGTAGAGAGGAGGGACAACTCCTTTATACCGTATAGGGGTAGCTTTTCAGAATTAATTCTGTGAATGGTGCAGTGTTTGGCAAAAAAAGGTAGAGCCAAGAACCTCTTAAACCCCTTCCTCAATTCCTTTCTTACCCTCCTCTTCTTTCCTTCTCTCTAATTGCATGGGCTCCAACATAGAGCGACACTGGAAGACTTTGGACTTGTATAGTAAACAGGAAAAAAGTTGAAATCTGTGTTGTGGCCACAATAAATTGTAGCATATTTTAACTTTTTATTCCTCATATATATATATGTGTTTTTTTTTTTTTTCTTTTTTTTTTACAAAAACCTGTGGCACATTTTGCTCTGTTGCTACTACTCCTCCAAAATGCACAGAATCATCCTGAGGTATTTTCATTTAGATACAATTTGGCTTAGTGGATCCAATCAATTAAGCAAATAATTGAACAAAGATAAGACGTTTTTTTTAAGTGTGCAATTTTTACAGTTTTTTTTTTTTTTTTGCTACAAAACATTTGGCACAAGTGAAAAGAAAACTATATGCACATACATATTTTTCAGCAAATATCAAAATATATCAATAAACAAATAATCAGATTAATGCCCCCGGCCCCCTCAAAACAAAAGCAAAGAAAATATTCTAAAAAATAATTGATTATCATTTCAAACGTGCCCAAGATCTAGCATGCATGGCTACTTAATCCCCAGAGAGGGATATGTGATGGATGAGTATATAATGTTGGATTCATTTTAGCTCCAACAACCCTGGCCCACACCCCACCCAAACAATGCTGGAAAGGAAAACAAGGAATCCATCTCAAGAAATCTTTTCCCTCAGGTCCCCTCTACCGAGAGTCTACAATGGATAAAGAGCCCACAATTTGAGAACAATCTTCTTTAAAACTACAGTCTTTAAAGGGCAAGTATAATCATATTTTTAAGCTATAATTCTATATTATTTTATAAAATATAACTTAGCATGCTCGCATGGGTTCCCTCTGGATACTCTGTCTTCTTCAGTCCCAAAACATAAATATTTCGTTCACTCAGGTATGTCTAAGATTGGTTATTAAGGGATTTTCGATGTGCTCGGCTTTAAATTAATTCCTCTCTATTTATCTCTACTTTCATAGAAAACTCCTAGATGACTTGCACAGACACACTACTTTTTGCTCTACCACATAGAGCAAAGTTCTGAAAAGAACATACGTTAATTAACAATTAAAAATCTTTGAGAACTTTCCACTTAAGAGTATCACTGCTGCCACCCTTTGTTTTGGAGAAGAACTGCTTCTTAATGAAATCTCCTAGTAGGGGCATGGTGGGGAGGCCACAGGGGTGGCCAATGATTAGTTAATAATGGCCATGGCTATCCCAGGACCCCCATTTACTGTAGTTCTGACCCTGGCTTCAGCACAGCTGATTCTGATGTCAAATCTTGTTAATCAGCAGTCAACTGTGCTGAAAGCAGGGAAACTTCTAAAACTTGCAGGACAGGGGCCCCCCACAACCAACATTGGACATGCCTAGGTTAATTTCTTTCTCTTAATTTTTTTCAGGTATGAGTATTTGACTGCATGGTTTATGTCATGAGTGTCTCTGAGTTTCACTGTGATGGTCTGACCACCTGTCCAGGGTTTGCACCTATTGGCCACAAATAAAAAATATGGAGCAAGCAATTTTCCTGCTCATGAGATTGTGCCCCTCTTTGTAAACATTCTTTGCTGAAAATTATGAAACAAAACCAAGATTAATCACTTTTGCAGCGGATATAGGACTTTTTATGAGTCCGATATCCGTACAACACATCTGTTGATGTTGACAGATTATATTAAATTAACACCAATTCTTAGTTAACTTAATTGCTTATCCTAACTGCTTTATTAAATCTACAATTAATTGTTTTCCTTACTGAGGCAAGTTAATACATTAATGCTTGACTTTAGCTTCTGTCTATTTGTTTATCAATATGTAAACCTCCTTACAATTCACCACCCGTGCAGCATTAGCTTGAATGACACTTTGGGATAAAAACATACTAATATTGATGTAAAGAAAGTACTTTAAAACAGACTTAATGAGTTTGAGTAGTCTAACAGACAGAGCTCTCAAAGAAGTGATTTGAACAATGCTTTTGTGTTGTGTATTTAAAACCTACAGAGTAAAATACAGACTACCTATATCTTGGAAAAGAAGCAATAGGAAGACAAAAATAAAAAATAAAAACTGTATCCACTAATAAGAATCATGCCGGTGAACAGATCAACATTTTTGGTTAGAGCTAAACCACCTATAACTAAACTCTCCAAATGAACTTTGCAGAAAGTAAATATTTCTCCTCACCAGAAAAATTAACCCTTTTTATTTTAGCCTTATATTGTTTAAATTATGATTATGGGAATGACTGTAATTATAATGAGCTACAAAGCTGAAACAAATAAAGTAAAAACAGAAAGGTTATAAAAATGATTATATATGCCCTTTAAATACTGATACTGTAAATCCTAATTAAGAGAGAATAAATGAGAATAGATGTAACTTTATTTAAAAAAAAGTAAGATATATATGAAGGGGAAAGGAAGATATCAGTTATGTTTTTCTTTTTTCAAGCTAAATACCCTGTTTTTCAGTGGCAGAGATGTCAAAAACAAAATTTGACCTCAGCCTGGATGAGGTGAAGGTGGGCACAGTTTTTATCTTTTCCCTCCATTATATTATCTTTATTCCCTTCCAACATTATTGTTACAGGTTAACTATGTGTTAAGGTCAGAGATCTAAGTTTATGTTGTAAAATAGCAATCCATCCATCTCTAGCCTTTCCTTTTTCAGAAACATGATAAATATGTCTATTTGTGAGCATTTTTTCTTCTCTTCAAGGACAAAAAAATAAACACATGCAAAATAACCTAATACTCCTGATGATTTTTTTTTATTAGGAAGCTATGCCTTTTTTAAAATACAAATGTGGGAGAGTTTATTTTCAAACTAATTGCTATTGTGCTACCAAATAAGCAAACACTAAAATTCTACATAGATTTTTAAATATCATAGCTGAATAGAATAAAAAAGTAAGACTTTTTAATTATTTTATATGTGCAGTGCCAGAAATGAAATCCCCTCAACTGTCCCTTGTTGTCTGTTCTTTACGAAAGTCATTTTCTTTGTAAACAGTATTCACTGATAGCACCTCCATTGTTCTCATCTTTTCATCACCGTACTGTTGTTGACATGATTTTTAAAATAGAAAACCAGTCTAACTAAACCTGCAATCACTAACTACCGGAAATTGCGAGTTGTTCCAGTTTTTCTACTTATTTTCTCACCCTTTTTGTCCTCACCTTCATTGTCAGGTGTCATTGCAGTACATTTTGTAAGCCTAACAAGCAGCACACTGTTAGATTATCTCACTTTGACACCCCTGTTCTTCCAAAATGCTTACATAGTGAGTTTCATCAGTGAAGGTGGAAGTGAAAAAATGTGAAAAGGATAACATTAAATGCATTAGCTCCTTTATCACTTTTTCCTAATCAATCTTCAAAGATTACTGCCAAAACCAATGGCTGTACATTTTTAGCACATATCAACAAACTTTTCTTATAATACTAAAACAGCTTTTCTTCAGTAAAGAATCCTTAATATGTCAGTTCTATAAATAGCATTATTTTTGTTTACTTCCTCCTGTTTTTAACTTTAAAGAATAGTGCTGGACAAAAACTGATTGGTACATGAGAGAATGGACAAATATGGCGGAAATAGATTAATAACAATACAAGTAGTCCCAAGTGGGCCAGAAGTTCCTTTTTTGATTAGAATGTAAAAGAGAAGAAAAATGGTCAAGTTGCTATGACATCCCTTAGTGGATAACATAGTTGATAAATTATAATACAAATCCAAAGAGGACTTAGAGGGAGAGAAAACATTTCTTCTATCTACTAAACATCTGATTCCAGACTGGGAATTTTCTTATACACCCGCCTATTGCTGAACTGGGCTGAGTTTAGGACACCCCTTGAGGCTGGGTATGCACTAGTCTTATTGTCTGAGTAAGGCATCACATGCTCTTTATTATACATGTCATTAGTTATCCGTCCATCCCTTGAGCAGTATGAAGAAGTGGATTTAATGGAAGAACGAAGATTGTTCGCATCATTGCGTGTTTTGATAGGAGCTGATCCTAGTGCCAATGCAGGAGAACCTACTGCCAGCTGTTTGTAAATGTCAGAGGAACTACGCCCATGGACCAGTCTGCTGCTGGTGTCATCCCTCAGTGAGTGACTGAGGAAAGGGTTTTCAGAGCCATGGGTTGGGTAGAGGGATTTGCTCCTCTTACTTTCCTCAAGGTTATTGTTAAACAGCATTGGTTTAGACCCACTGCTAAAGAGTCTGCCAGAGTAAGGGCGCATCCCGAATAGATTGGCATACTGGGAGTCAGATGCAGAGTCCAAGAATCGATCTTTTTCTTTCAGGCTGACGCTGCGTGCTGGTCGGCCCGGGTCTGCATCCTTGGGCTTTTCAAGCATGATGTTATCAAATGAGTGCTGACGACTTAGCCTCAAGCGGTTTCTTTTTTGGACATGTGGCCCATCTGTCTGGGGCCAATACAGGCCAAACATTTCATCTGGCTGCTGCTGCTCTTGGTGATGAAGGGTGGGGCTAAGCAAGGGATCACCAAGTAGCTGGTCCTCACTAATGTCATACAAGTTAGCTGTGTGAAGGCATGCATCACAACGATTGTATGGAGATCTTGTTCCAGATGCTGTAGCAGATGCTGCCGAGACATATGACCCTCCTTGTGGGTAGCTAGCAGGTACTTTGGACAAGCAAGAACGGCAGTGTGTCTGTTTGTAGCGATCAATAGATTCGTGAGGGGAAAGGGAAAGATTTTTCTCTTTTAGGCTGTAAGATTTAGAGTAAGCTGAGTCTGGGAGAAGGTCTGAGTCCGTGTGATGCATAGGTGAGGAGTTCAGATGAATGATTGGCTGCTCACACTTTCTGAAGTTATCACTGTGGTCCGAATATATTTCAGGGTAATCCAAATCATCTGCTGCAAGACCATGGCTTTCACGGTAGCGAACAGAGTCTGAATGGAGGCTCATCTCTCTGTCTGAATCAATTGTGTAGATTTTCTCTCCCCCTCCTCTCCCACTTTGGTTGGTTCCACTGCTGACCTGCTTAGTCTTTAAGTAGGACAGCTCCACCTCACTGCAATCCCTAGGGTATTTTGACGTCACGGATCTTTTTTTTAAGTTGTCCTTGGGTTTCAGATGCTTGTTGTTTTCTGGGTCCTTGTAGGTTGCTCCCCTGCTTGAACAGTCTGAGATGTCAGAATGGGCAGTGTCTTCTGGGAGGTAGCGCTGTGTCTTCATAGATATTCGTGGATCTGGCATTAGCATGTCAGGCATTGGAGATGGTCCCGGTGGCATGGAACGCAATGTGTCAGTTGACTTTTTCCACAATGTTCGCTGAGGTTTGGCATTTGTTTGGACGGTGTCAGCACTCACAGCTACCTCTACAGTATTTGGATTTGCATCATTCAGAGTCAGGGGATGCTGCCCACCCTGAAAGATGTAATTATTGAGGTGGTCTTTGTGGCGATTTGCAAGATAAGACTGAAGGTCACCAGTGTCCCCATAGATCATATCTTTGGGAGCATAGCTTCTGTTGTCAGCATAAATGAAGTTGCCTTTCTCTGCCATCATGTCCATGATCATAGGACCAGCTGAGTGCATGAATTCTCGTTTAGGCGAGTTCATGTGGGAGCCACTGAGGTTAGACATGTTGGTCATCTGTTTTGCAGACTTAATGAGCTTAAGCATTTTGTCCTGGGGGCTGAAGTCAAGGTCTGTCTTTTTCTTCATATCGATGTGTACTCCATGGATGCAGCTCCAGATTCCCTGTATGAAAAACACATTAATAAACAAAGAAGGTAATAAATAATGAAAAATGAAAAAAGGATATAAAAGGACCAACATACTTTATATTTTAAATTGATCTAATCTTCCAAAATACTGAAAGGTATATACAACATCATTAGACTAATAGATTGGCAGAATTGCAAGAATATATAGAATAACAGCATTGTCTAATAACGTTTTAAATGGGAATCGGCTGTTCTCACAAAAAACAATTTCACTTCAGTGAATAGTTGAAACATTATAATTTTCTTTAGAAAAGGTTTTCACCATCTCGTCTTTAGAGTGTACTCCTGAAAAAACACTGGTGAAAAATGAAATCCCTTATTACATATTTCTAGTTTAGCAATACATTTAGATCTCCCTGGTCTGTAGTGATACATTTGCAAAAGAACAGAAGTCTTAAATGCACACAGTATACATATCACAACAACTAAACTCTTCAAACAATTTAATTGGTGTAAGATGAGCATGTTGTGTTTATGAGGAATCTAGCATGCTAGCAGTAAGTGTCCCATAATTTAGCTCATACGGTATGATACCACTAACCAAATAAAACATAATTAAAGGTGAAGTAAGCATGTTAGATAAATAAAATTGTGCAAACTCATTGTGCCGAACACACAATGTTAAATCATCAATATTATATTTAACATCTGAATAATTTTGTGCATTTGATACAATTATGAAGCAATGTCATCCAGTTTAAAGAAACATGAAAAAATAAAACTAATTAATCATGTCATATTTATTTTCAAATTTGATCTTTCAAAATGAAAAATACATGTTTATGACTCTTTACCTATTAAGAAGTTCAACTTTGTGTGCTTATATGTAAGCATTTAGTGCTACAGGTAATCCAAACTAAAACATCTTACTGACAACAGCAGGTATTTAACTCTTTTCTTTTATACTGCTGTTATGACTCCAAATTAGCAAATTACAAAAAGTTTGATTGTAATCAAACAAAATAGCTTAAAAACATCAATAGTATGTGATATTACCCATGACACACTTATTGTTACATCTTTTGTTTTTACAAAACTGCTGAATTTCAGAGATGAAAATATACTAATAATCCATTTACACCATTAACTGTTCTTTCACTTATTCCACAATAATCTTTAAATTTAAATTGTTTTTATATTTTATATCCTTGATCTGCCTTAGATGTACTCCAGTACTGGCTAATCCAGACAAAATAAACACCACGTTCTGAGTAATAGTTAATATACTTTCCTTTGACCTTTGTGGTTAAAGGGAATTAGGCTGTATGCAAGAGGAACCTTTGTATATAAAAAAATGAACAATGTGTCTATTTTTCACCGTCACACACTAGAAATACTACTTTTCAAAACTTTAGGAGTGTTGTGCTTCCTAATGTTTTTTTTTCCAAGCCTATTTGTACAATACAGGCCAAACATACTGTAGTAGATTATAATCTAAACAATCCTCTAAAAGGTTAGGAAAAAACAACTACTTTACAAATATCTATTTATCTTTCCTTAAAGTTTGATCTCTTTTTATTATATAATACTGTTATTATTCCCATCTAGATTAACACTGCTGTAAACACAACATAAAGACACTGCAGTGCTTTTAGAGATGCATGTGCATGTCTTCTGTTCTCGCACACAATGAGGAAAAATGCTGACCTTTTAGGAGAAAATAGGATAGATTGATTAAATGTGGGTTGCTGTGGTTTCATCCAAAAAAACAAGCCACAATTAGGGTCTATTTTTGTCGATAGTCAGGGCTGCCTCGTGATTCCCCCTCCCGCCTCCTTCCCCATCCTTGCATCTTCTGCAAAACCCTCCCTTCTTTTTCTCTTTTTAAGTTAATATCTTAGTTTTGCTGTTCTTTTTCTGTGGGAGAAAAATAAGACAGGAGTATTTGACCTAAACACTGCAGCATTAGCCTACGACACATCTGGAATGTTTCATTTTATCTTGTTCTGTGATCATTAAGACAACTCTTGCACCATTTTTTGAAATTCACTATTTTTACATGATATTAAACACCATGTATACAGAATCCTTACCCTGCTGATGGAGAACAGAAGCCCTGGTGTGCCAGAGCAGACTCCGGTGAAGCAGTATCTCAACCTCCAGTAGAAGAGATGCTCCGAGACAAATGTGATGAGTGAGAGCCCCATTGCGGTGGCCAGCATGTAGAAGACCCCCGCCATGTTGTCTACATCAAGCTGGCTTGACATGACCTCGTTCTTCTCATTGTGACAAATTCCTGTCAGCCACTGGGCTTCTAGTTCTTCCATTTCACCTAAAAAACAAATGCATTGAAGTAAAACCATCCTATGGCTTCCAAAAGTTCGCTAGATCATTCAAACATCACAGGATTTAGACAACCATAAAGGAACTCATTCCGGCACAACTGCGTTTTTAGTACTTGGCAAAAAGGTTTTTCACTGCTCCTTTCCCCACCGCCTTACCACAAAAATATGAACACTGGCATCAAATCTGCACAAAGATTTTTCCTTACAATCTGCAGGTTTTTCCTATAGGCTTCTGCGCCTACATCATCAGTTTCAGCCTTCCTGTGGAGGAGCAAACATCATCAGGACTTTAAACAGCTTTTTAGCATCATAAACGGGGTGGGTGGTGGTATGTAAAGAGGTCTAAACATCACCAGTAAGGTTATCCTGCAAAAAAAATTCATATGAAAAATCTGAGACCTGTACAAATACTTGAGCCAGCAGTTAAACAGATCATGGATACTATAATTGAAAATGAATCACTGTAAACTGATAAATTATAGAGAGTAAAACATGAAGTAAATTTTAGATTTGGGGGTTGGGATTGTAAGGTGGAATGTGGCCGAAAATTACTTACAATATATCTTGCTGCAGGTTGTGATATATCTTGGTTATATCAGGTAGGTCTTATCAAGCTTTTATTTGCTAGCCGTAGTGTGAGCTCTACTAAACCCATAGAATAATCCAGTAAGAGACCCTTTTGCATGCTACCATGCAGACCCAACCCCTCACCTTGGGGGTAGGAATGGGAACTTCTGAATTCTACTGATACTGTTGCAGTAGAACTGCTGAGTCTCTCCTTGACTCCCTGCGTGCTGTCTCACAGTCACGGAAAGAGCTGCCCTGAGTCCTGTTCCTTATTCCCTGAAAGCTGTCTCACAAGCACAGGCAGCTGCCTCATCATGAAAGTCCCACATGCAGTCAGAGCAAAGAAATAGAGACGATACCTTTCCCTTTGAAAATATACAACACATGTGCAAAGCTGCCCATTATTCCACCATGGATTACAAAGCGGGATAAAAATATAATGAACTGTAGTATCTTTTTATTAACTTCTCAAACTGTTGCACTAAAATATTATCTAATTACCACACAGGTTAAATCACTTATTCACCTCGAAATTAGATGTAAGCATTTCAGATTTAGGCGATGTATAAAAGGTTAGACCTTATTTCATAAAGCAAGGTTTACATAAGTTGTGTTTCAGCTAAATTTTAAATAGGATGACATAGTTATAAATACCCATAAACCGCATCTTCCACCATGAGCTTTTTCACCAGTCTGTTGTAAGTGACCGTATTCTAGCCTTCTTACCAGTATAGTATGAGCCATGGTCAAACCCACCACTGGGTGGCATGTTTTTTTTTCAGAAGCAATCTCCTTACTATTAGCAGCTGATGTTAATATTCAAGTTCCTCGGCCAGTATGCCAGCTAGTCTACAGTCAACATTCAGTTTGAAACGTATACCTTTGTATAGCTCCGGTGACAATAAATGGGGGATTACTTCTGTTACTTACAAAGACAATATATGGCAAAAAAAATATGCATAGATAACTGCTAGGTTTAAACCAAGGTGGGGGTTCTTTATCCAATATCTTATTTAAAAGCACAATAAAATGTAAAAAAAAAATGTAAGAAAATAACATTTAATTGTCTCTGCCATCTTAGTTGATTTCTGCATATTCTTAACTGATCCCTGGTCTCAAATGTTGGTCCTGTTTTAATAGATTATGGTTAGTAATTCTGAATTTGTGGAAATATTTGTAAAAACTAAGCCGTATTTTCTGATTTACCTTTATCATCGTACTTTGTAATTATTATTGTGCATCACAAATTGTACCCAAATTTTAGGAATCCTCACAACCTTCAAAAAAATACACAATTTGGAGATGTATATTATTTGTGGTCTTTGTAGCCATCAGTGTTCCCAGACAGAAATCTAGACAACAGCTAGAAAACTGATCTAAAAATATGTTTCCACACCTAAAGGCTTTGTTTAATTTCAGACTGATCAGAGTCTGTGGTTTCTTTGTTAAGAAAAGAAAGTAAGAAAAGCAACATAGACCTTATCTTTTCTCATTCCCTACTCTGTGTACCATCCCTTCTGTCTTCCCTCCCACTCTTGCTTTCTCTGTGACATTTGGCGTGTAGCTAATCCAATCTGTGTCATTCAGGGACAGATAACTAAAGCTGCTAGTGGGAAAAGACAAATATCATGGTGGTTCTCAGCTACATATCTCTGAGTACAGATTTACTAACACATCATTACTGCTTTCCTTCAACTGAAGATCATTTGTCTTTCTGCAGATACTTAATATTTATGAATACACTGAATGATGTAGCAAAGGGATACATTTTTATTCATAAAACAGTCAGTAATAAGTTTAATCTTTATTTAAAAGCAAGGCTAGGACTGTCAGGGTTGCACTAAGACCAACATTTGACCCAGATATTTTTGGTCATAATAGTAAATAATTTACAGAATAATGTAAGAATGACTGTATAGCTCTTAAACATGTTGTTTGTTTAAAGTAAAACATGAGAAGTACATATTTGATAAACTTAACAAAAATATATATAAAAAAACACTTTTGGTTTTGCTTCCTTTTTCAAGATTAACTCAAAGATCTAAAACCTTTTCCACATATAATATAACTATTTCCCTCAAATATTGTTCACAATCCAGTGTAAATCTGTGAAAATGAGCACTTTGCTGAGATAATCCATCCCACCTCACAGGTGTGCCATAACAAGATGCTGATTAGACACTATGATGACTTATTGCACAGGTGTTTCTTAGACTGCTCATGATGAAAGGCCACTATGAAAGGCGCAGTGTTGTTTTTTAATTAGGGGGGTCTGGGGACTCAGAAAACCAGTCAGTATCTGGTGAGACCACCATTTGCCTCACGCAATGCAACACATCTCCTTTGCAGGAGATCAGGTTGTCAATTGTGGCCTTTGGAAGTGGTGGTCTACTCCTCAACATTTGAGATCAGGGTTTAGATTAAGAATATGCAGAAACCATCTAAGATGGCAGAGGCCACTAAATGTTATTTTCTTACATTCTCACCTCTTCAATGATTGTGGGAAGTTGCTGGATAATAGCAGGAACTGGTACACGCTGTCCTTGCAACATGAGGCCTTGCATTATACTGCTGCAACATGAAGTGATGTTCTTCGATGTATGGCACAACAATGGGCCTCAGGATCTCGTCACACTATCTTTTCTTATTCAAAATTCCATCAATAAAAGGCACCTCTGTTTGTGCTTCATTCTTCATCCATAACAGAAGCTTGCCCACAATAAAAGGCCACTGAAAGGTGCAGTCTTATTACACAGCACAATGCCACAAATGCTGCAAGATTTGAGGGAGTATGCAATTGGCATACTGACAGCAGGAATTTCAACCAGAACTGTTGCTCTTGTATTGAATGTTCATTTCTTTTCCATAAGCTGTCTCAGAAGGCCTTTTAGAGAAGTTGGCAGTACAACCACCCTCACAAACCGTAGACCAAATGTAACCACACCAGTCCAGGACCTCCACATCCAGCATGTTTACCTCCAAGATCGTCTGAGGCCAGCCACTCGGACAGCTGCTGAAACAATTGGTTTACATAACAAAAGGGTTTCTGCACAAACTGTAGGAAACTGTCTCAGGGAAGCTCATCAGCTTGCTCGTCGCCGTCATTGGGGTCTCCACCTGACTCCAGGTCAACGTCGTAACCTACTTGAGTGGCAAATGCTCAAATTTGCAGCCGTCTGGTATGTTGGAGAGGTGTTCTCTTCACAGATAAGGTTTTCACTGTACAGGGCAGAATAAAGACATAGTGTGTGGCATTGTGAGGTTGATCTGTTTTCTGATGTCCGTGTTGTGGTTCGAGTGGCCCATGGTGGTGGTGGAGTTATGGTATGGGCAGGCTTCTGTTATGGATGAAGAACGAAGCTTGAACAGAGGTGCCATTATTGATGGAATGTTGTATACAAAAAGATAGTGTGACGAGATCCCGAGGCCCATTGTTGTGCCATACATCAAAGAACATCACTTCATGTTGCAGCAGGATAATGCAAGGCCCCATGTTGCAAGGACAGCATGTATCATTTCCTGCCATTATCCAGCAACTTCACACAGTCATTGAAGAGGAGTGAACGTAAGAAAATAACATTTAGTTGTCTCTGCCATCTTAGTTGTTTTCTGCATATTCTTAACTGATCCCTGATCTGAAATGTTGAGGAGTGGACCACCACTTCCAAAGGCCACAATTGACAACCTGATCTCCTGCAAAGGAGATGTGTTGCATTGCGTGAGGCAAATGGTGGTCTCACCAGATACTGACTGGTTTTCTGAGTCCCCAGACCCCCCTAATTAAAAAACAACACTGCACCTTTCAGAGTGGCCTTCCATCATGAGCTGTCAAAGACACACCTGTGCACTAATCATGGTGTCTAATTAGCATCTTCATATGGCACACCTGTGAGGTGGGATGGATTATCTCATCAAAGGAGAAGTGCTCACCATCACAGATTTCGACTAGTTTGTGAACAATTATGACTGTGTTTGTGGAAAAAGTTGTAGATTTTTGAGTTCATCTCATAAAAGATGGGAGCAAAACCAAAAGTGTTGAGTTTATATTTTTGTTGGGAGTGTATACCGCATACTAGGACTTCGTATTAATGCATGCACTCCCCATATGATGCTGTTTCTGATTATTTAAAAGATGTTTCTTCTGCATTGAAGCACTCTGCTTTACTTGGCAAATTATCTTCAGGTGCGGTTCCTGTGATATTTAAACATGTTTTTTGAAAGAAACCACACCCTGAGTGAAAGACACCATCCTTCTTGCTAATTATAGACCAAATTTAAAGCCACCCTTAACTTCTACGGATATCGAGGAAGTGGTCGATTATCAGCTGAATTTTGTTTTGTTTTTTCTGGAAAGTGGACAAAAAAAAGCTACATATTATTTTAAAAGTTACTCTGTTTATTTTTAGCTGCAGCAGTGCTCCATAAAATTTAACATTGGTAAATAATGATCAGTTCTTGGAAGATTTGTTTGTTGTACTCTTTGTTATATTCTACATTTACCAGTTACAATCTCTTAAAATTAATGGATGAGAGTGTTCTCTAGCTGGTGAAGGTAGAATCAGGGGTCTTCCTTTACTTTTTTTAAGGTTGGTTAATCTTTGCAATGGTTTGAAAACAAACTGTATCACACTGATGTTGATGGGAGGCTTGCTCTACATACTGTGACAAAATGCCCAATTATGTCAGAAATTATAACTAGCAGAACTGGGGAAAAATACAGATGATATTCACATACTTTAGTTCAGAGTCCATCCAAAAAGTCTGACCTTACAGGGGTCATCTTTTGAGTACATTTATACCTACCTTTATCAGATTCAGGCCTGGTCCCTGCGGTGAAAAAAAAGGGGGAAAAAGACGACTACACTAATACACCCAGGTTCTAATAATGGTAGCTGCAATGGAAGCACAGTTTAACTAGTTCATTTGGAAGCTGCACAGTTGTTTTTTTCTTAAACATAAATGGCATCTCTCCCTTCTCTTTTAAACCACCAGGAGAAAAGGTAGTTACAGGTATGTAATGCACACACCTGTGCATAACAGACATGGAATTTACATATGGGTGTCTATGAAAGAGTTACTGGTATTAACCACTGAGCCTTGATCTAATGAGCTGGATCTTCTGTGTTTGCCCTTCCTCTACTCTTTGTTGTAGGGGGAATGAACTTCTTACTGCACTGGACTTTGTATACTGCAGTGATCATTGAGGTGAAGACAGATTCAACTGCTTCTTCTGCAATGGCCCTTTGTGGCTTATACTTCGCTCTGGACATCAGTCAAGTTAGCAGTCTTCTCAAGAAATTGTGAAAAGTAAAGTCACAATGTTGAAGTCATGTTTATTTTTTAAATTTTCAATGTTTTAGAAAATGTACGTGTTTATCTATGATTATAAGATATAATCAAAAAATATTTGAAATTAATGCTTCAGATATACGACTGATGTATCTATGTAAAACATGATATTCACTTCTTACATATCAGAAGAAATAAACTCCACAGATGTTCTTAGTTAAAATACAAACCTTTGTATTTTGTCTGTCACATCATGAGTATCTCTAGACTTTACAGTTTTAAGCACTAACTGTTGAATATCACAAACTCACCAAAATATAACATAATACTAGCATTCCTTTGCTTGTTAAGGATCTTACTTTACAAACAGCTGGAGAACAAACCTTTTACATTTACAGACAACCGGTAAATTAATAATGATAATGATAATAACAATAATGATAGAGAGAAAAGACAAAATGGAATCTTAATAAAATTGTTACTGTTGAAGTTTTTTGAACCTTGAAAATAATAAATGTTCTCTCTGAACAATCTCTGCAAAGCACCTTTTTTTAAATACAGAATTGTTTTTATCTGATTAGGCAGAATCTGTCGGGATACCAACTCCCCATCATCGATCATGAACCTTGCTTCACTTTCTCTTCTCCCTCACCATTCCTCAACATGTTATTTTTGTGCCCTAGCTTTGACCTTCACACACATGCACCGTCACATTACCGATAGTGTCATCACATTTTCACCTTTTCTGTTTACCCTCCAAATATCTTTCACCTGATCTCTATGATTTATCCCTGCTCCCCACAAAGCCTCACTCCCTTGGTTCCTCACCTTTATCCTTACCTTTGTGAGTGGTATAGAAAGACAACAAATGGAGAAACACTGAAATTATCAGTTGGACAGAGTTGACGTACTCTCAGTTAAAGTCTGCAATGGATGGCTGCTTGAAAATTAAAAAAGACAGCATGACATTGATACAGAGAAGATGCCAACCAAGCAAAACAAAAACAGTGAAACCTATTTCTGACAGTCTTGTTCCACTTGAGCTCTGATAGGAATCCATGAAAGGGAGAGCCACCAAAATAAGCTCTAAAGTTAGTGTTTAAGAATATTCCAACACACAAAGGGCCTTTCCATTAAACTGTAACTGTATCTGGCATTGTAAAACCTCTGTCCCTGCATAAAATTATTCCTTCTTTTCATTTCAGTAGCATCCTTCTACATAAAAAAGCCTTTAACATGAGTACATTCTGTTTTCAGTACAGTAAAACAGAAATTCACATTAATCTGTAACTGGGCTACACTTATTGTTTCTTATAATATTCTCTAAAAAAATAATCATAAATACATTTTTGTATATTTAGTCGTATTTTTATTTATATATTAATTTCTATCATCAAAGTGCTTAAATACAAATAATGTTCCTTAATGTGTAACTTAAACAGAGAGGCTCATTTCTGTTGGCTACTCTTTAAAATGGAAAAGACAAGAAAACATACTATTTGAAAGAAACATGTGTGCTTATTTAATTTAACTCCATGTATGTCTCTCCATCTATCAATATAATTTTCTGGATTAAACCTTTAGACTTTGTCTTCTGTCAATATCTCTCCTCTCTCTTGTCTGACAGAAATTCACTGCTTTGGAATTTTCATTTATCTGTGCATTTCTTAAAGTTTAGCTGGATAATGTTTATTTTATCTTTTTGCTTTATTAGTACCATCACGAGTTCGGAATCCGGTGTGGTTGCGTGTGAGTCATTCTCACCATCTCCGATGATAGCCAAGATGGCCAGATCCACCTGTCGCTTCCAGAAGGAACCTTTCTGCAGAGCAATGCCATAACCAGTTGTAGCAAATATGTACCTGAATACACGATCACATGAAAAGAAACCCGCAAATCAAAAATTGGGATTATTCCAAAGAGTATAACCATTTTTAAGAAATATTTGCTATTGGCCATATCAAGACTTAAACTTAATTTTAGTCTTAAAGAATGAAATGAAATTAAAGGTCACAGATATAGAAATCAAAAATGAAAAACCTAATCTGATTTTAATGGAAGATATTTCTGTTTTACACAATATAAATTTTTAACCTTTACCAAAGCCAAAAGATTTTTGCACTGCAATCCACTCCCCTCTAATCAGTAAATTGGTTAACAACGGTGCCTAGGTACCTTCTTAAGGTAGTTACTTGCACTGAACTCCTCCTTTGTTTGTTAAAATAAACTTTTATGTTTATACTTCAGTTTCACAAATTGTCTCTTTACTAAGTATAATAACGTGTCAGAATGTAAATTGGGGTGGCCAACTGTAGTTCTCGAGACTTAGATTCAAACAAAAATTTCTCTGAAAACACTAAGTCAGCTTAGTAAATGTGTGCCTACACAAGAAGAATGTACCTACTACACCTTAATAAATAATACCAGACCTGTTTGTGGTGCTTTGACACAATGATGGAAAACGATCCAAAAGGGAATTGGGCATATGCACAACACTGTACAGCACCATTGTTGTTGCCATACTCTGAGTGTAGCCCACTGATGTTGCAAGCATCTCATAAAATTTCAGAGAGGCAGTAACCACAGAATCCCATAAATTGAGTTATTACACGTTACTTTACCTAGTTTCAAAAATGTTTGCTTAAAAACCTTTGCATACATAAAGCACTGGTTTGATTACATATTTTGTATTTAGGCCTGGGCTTGTCTTCATGTGGATTGGGCCTTAGAGGCATTCCCACTCTAACTCACCTGCTTCAGATGAATAGCTTGTTACCAGCCTGCAGAGCTGAATGCCATGCAGATAAAGGTTAAGTTGTATTGGAATAGGGATGCATCTAAAAGTTGAAGAATAGTATCGCTGCCCACCCTTGATGAAGATGGTGTTGTCAACTTGATGTCCAGTGTTAGCTTTTCTCATAAACTGGACTGAACATCGCTTAATACAAGGCTTCTCTTGGTTTTTTAGGCCAATGTTTTTTTGTTTTTTTTTGTGTTGTTGTTTTTTTCAAATATCATCTTCACTAACTGTTTTGAAAATAGAAATGCTCTGTGGTTTTGATCTCTGTGGTAGAAGGGAATCCCTTTCTTTTCTCACAGATTTTAGGCATGTTCCCAAAATGTCAGCTTCTTTCTGTCACAGCATGATTCACTGTCCCAAAATAAACTATCCTTGATCCACTGTGCCTGAGATGGGCAGTGCTATAGAGTACTTTCTTTACCGATAGTCTGGATGAATAGCTATCTGTTACTTAGATTTGCAGCTGTATTTACCCGCTGCCGATGGTGACCAGCTTACACCCTTCATCCCTTCCAGCCATGTAGTTCAACACTGCAGCATCATAGATGAAGGCATCCAGCTTGCTGTGATGGACAAAAGAACAGAGAAAAATGACAGAAAAGAGACATTAAAAAGGTAGGTCTTTCACATTTTTTTAAAAGACAGAGTGAAAAGTAAACATAAGGAGTCAGAAGGCAAAGCATCTTTTTTTTACAGAGTGTTGGTTGCAGATCAATTGTGAAGTGTTAAATCATCTCCAATAGGCCTGCAATCCAAGCGTAACCAAACACAAAGGACATAGAGTGGGTTGACAGTTCAATACAAAACGCTTCACTGATGATAGGGCCTTGGAGGTACATAGGCATTCCTAACCAACTTCACGCCCAGATAAATGTTTACCCTATCCTGCTGTTTTTCTCCTTTCAAACACTCAAAGACTTAAAAATAAGTGGAAGATGGAAAGAAATAAAAAGTTCTAAGGCCCTGAATGACATTTCTAATGTAACTGATACTGTCACTGGAAACTGCTTTCTTCCTATCTCAATGCATGCACAAACACCAAGCTCAAACATTCTGATCCCTGCTAATGGACCTGTGACTGGCTGGCATTTCCTGAATGTCAGGATCACCACTTTAACAGAAACTAATAGCAGATAGTCCTAGTGTGCAACTAGCTTTACCTACCACTGTCAACAAGCAACTTGTGTATCCCAACATGTAGAACAAAAAATCTGCATTGGTATTGTATGTCTGTATAATTAGCTAAATACTGTAGAATTAAAACCAGTGCCTTTTTAAATGGTGATAAATATATATATTTTATTAGTTCCTTGAAGGTTTCATTCTGTTTTTAGGTTTGAGTTATTTTAATGCCTTAGCTCATCAAACTAATATATGGTAAATATAGCAGACAGATATTAAACACAGAATGTAGCTTTTTAATTGTTTCATTTAATAATGGACAAAGGTACCAAAAAAAAAACATCAACAGAAAACATAACCTGACACATTTAAGCAGGCTATAAAATCTAAAAAAGTGACATACAGTAGTAGCCCTTCAAAATTTCCATACTTCCCTTGATGGTCCTTTTTAAACATCTAAAATATTCTTTTTGTCATGATTTGTGGACATTAAGATCTAAAGAGAAGCGTTATCTCCTGCTCAGAAGATGTAATTCAGTGAAAGGGTGGGCCATTTTAGATGGCTGCTACTGTATAGTTTTCTCATATGAAGAAATTAATATAAACAAAGTTTATCATCTATGAGTCTAGAAAATGTGATAAAGATATTTCTAACCCCCAAAGCACATGGCTTGTGACACTGCAGAGAAAAATTTTTGTCCTAAACACTTTATGTGTACTAATTGCTCTGCTTATAATCAGGCTCATGTTTTTCAGATTATATGGCATAAATCCAATATGTTTGGGAATAAGCTGGGAATGTGCTTTGGGAATCTGGCCAAAGTCAACATCTGCATTGAAGTAAACACTGAAAAAGGGTGGCTCCTCAGCCTTATGACCAGCCTACTAAAATTATTTCAAGAGTGCTTTAAAAATGAATCGAGGAGTTAACTAAAATATCCAGAGCATCTAAATCACAGCAATTCCCCGTGAGAAAGTCTGACCTTCACTTGTCTCAGTGAAGGTCAGAGTTCATAATAAAACAATAAGAAGGAGACTGGTAAAAAAGTTTAAAAGTGAAAACCATTGTTAAGCTTAGGAACCCAAAGGCCCATGTTATCTTTGCAAGAAAACATGCTGTTCTTCCCCAACATGCTTAGCAAAAATATCTCTTTGCTGACTGGAAAAGGGAACATTTTGGAAGTTGTCTCATTTCATCTGGTGTAAAAATAGCACACAACTTCATAAAAGGAACAACATAACAGTCAAACAAGTTGGTTGCAGTGGGATGCTCTGGGGTTGCTTTTCTTTTTCAGGACCTCGACAACTTGCTATAAGTGATGGAACCATGAATTCGGCTCCCTACAAGAAAAACATGAAAGAAAATATACAGCCATTAGTTCACACTTGCAGCAAAAGACAAGGAATTCCATCTTTTCAATGACAAAGTAAAACAAATGATCAAAATATACATTTTTAAATGACAACCTGTAAGCCACCAAAATCTTTCAAAATCAATATGATAGCCATCTAGTATGTTAAGTTGGTAAAGGGTTATCAATGTTTAAACGCATAATTTCATTTTGGAGAATTAAACCATTTTAACAATATAGAAGTGTGTTCTTGTTGTAGACCAGCGCTACTAGCCATTATTTAGAAAACGACTTTCTTGTTTAGCAAAATGAAGGTGCCGAACCTTTGACGTGAACCCAAGTTTCGAATTCTTCAAGATCCTTTTGCTAGCCAGCAAAAGGATTTTGCACGGCAGACTGCTATGTCAAGCATATCTTCTGCCTATTCATGATCTAGTCAAGGGCTCTGCTGTCCCGCATTGGGGGGTGAATCGCCAAGACAATTGAAAGAAGGTGAAACGGCATTCTGGAGCTTAGAAAAGAGCAGTGGGACACCAGTGCAAGAACATCAGTGCGAGAGGACCTGCGTCCCCCTCTGGAACTAAGGAACCATGAGCTCACTGTGAAAACGGAGCACCAGAGCAGAGAAAAAAGCCAGCAGCTTGCCATTGCCAGTTCAGGAAGAGATTGAAGAAGCACAGTGGTAGATCAGAGAAGCCCACCAGGGAAACAGCATCAGCGGGGAGAAATACAGGCTAACTGCTGAGGATTGGTTATGTCTGCAGCAAAGACAAAATGCTGAAGACGGAGCAGAGGCTATGGCTGCCACAGTAGGTATGTTGTACATCGGAGAAAGATCAGCAAAGCTTGCCCGGGCAGACAGTCGAAGAGTTGGGGAGAGAAGGCCTTGGCTGACCGATGTTTGCGCTGGAGGTAGGACCGAGAAACAGTCCTTCTAGGGCTACATTAAATAAGCTTTTTTTAAAGTGGCTATAAATCTTCTGAGAAGCATTACCGCTTCATCCTTCTTTTATTAATCTCTCCTCTTCCATTTTTTATAATAAAAAAGCTTTGTCTCCATTGCCGGCCTCATTGTAGCTCACAGCCACATTTAGTCCCTGATTGAATTTCATGACACAAACCTATCATAAACTTCAGTTTAATCAACTAATTCACAAAGAAAATTTTGAATTTTCAATTAAAGTCGTTGGGAAGTCATATTTCAAAGTCAAATAATTCTGGCTTAAACATGTATATAAATGAAAAAATAATAAAATAAAAAATCTTGTCTTAAAATCTGTGTTTGTTTCGTTATCGTATGCAGACCAGTTAGTTATGTCAGCCTGTACACCTAAATTTGGCCAATCATATATCAATGGTCATCTCTCACTCAAATTTTTTCGGTCATAGCATCTTGTTTCATATGTCGCAGCTAATATACGCAATGGTTGAAATAAGAAATAAGAATAATTTACTTTACCATTGAGTTACGTCCCATTGTTCATGGGGATGGACGTCTTTGGCAGGCGTAGAGCTAACAGAATTGGCAGTGTTGCCAGGCAAGGGCTACAATATGTACAGCTGTAAGCCTTTTACACCAAAGCTTCCCTGGCATCCTCTTCCACAACAACTTCGTCCCCACTTTCCTCCTCTACATAAAAAATGTATGACGGAGGACTCATCCATGACCTGCGACACAAAACTGTCCTTCTCTTGCATCTTTCCGATGTCCATAGCATTTCTTGGCAGTGCCGTTGCTAAGTGCTACTTGGTCCCAATGTATTTTCCCATTGGCAAAATACTAGCGCTAAGTTGCTAACTGGTTAGAAAGATGCTTCCGACAAACCGGCCACAACCAAACTTGCTTGCAAACCTTCCACCACAACAATCCCTCCCCCTTGATAAACAACCAGTCATATTCATTTTAGTCACTCGTGTAAAGTCAGGCACCACTTGGGAGAATTTGCAAATGCAATGGTCGGAACACTACAACGGTTGAACTCCTTATGACTTTAAGCAAAGGGAAATTCACAGATGACACAATCAGATTTCACCAAATTCAGCAAAATCCAATTCATCACCTTTGCCATGCTAAATTTCATCGCCAGATTGAAGGGGCTTTACAACCACATTGGCTGTACAGATAATTTTAGCAAAACTATGCACATTGTCATGCCCCAACATAGCAACCAAACTATGAAAATTAATGAGGACTGGTAGTGACTGTCATGATCTTGGTGCTGATGGTTTGGTTTTTTCCTTTGCTCCTTGCTCAGCTGTCTAATTGGTTCTGCGGCTGATTAACGCTGATCATTTCCACCTGGTTCCTCTGCTATTTATGTTGTGTGTTTGCCTCCCATCAGCACCAGGTTATTCGAGCGTTTTGGTGAGACTAACTCTAGCTTTCTGAAGTCTGTTCTCATTATTCTGATGTGACCTGTTTCTGTCTTGTGGATCCCGAGTTTTGCCTTGCCCCTGTCTGCTCATTTTGTCTCATGTGTTTCCTGGATTCTACCGGCTTCTGAACCTGGACATGTTTTCTGACTTCGGCCTTGGATTTCCCCTTTGGACTCTGTCGCTGCTCGGCGTCGGCTGGCGCCCGCTCCGCTCCCTCTCAAGGAACTCTGGGGGCGTCGCCCGCAGCAACTGCGGTCAAACCTCCCGTCTGATTTCAGCTGTGTTCTCCGCAAATGGACTGAACTTTGAATCAGGTTAGTGACTTAGCTTCAAGTCGTATTCAGCTCCACATCCAGTCACTGACCTGTATTCTCCTATCTCTGCAGAGATCCGCCCCCCAGCTGACGAGCAGCCCCGCGCACCTGTTAGTTTTAATAAACACTTTGAACTTTCCCAATGCCTGTCTTGCCTTGAATTCTGGGTCCAACTTCCTGAGATCATTACAGTGACTTATCGGAATATGTGCCGTTTTACACTTAAATAGAGAAAATTTTAGTAGCTCTAAAAAAGATAACAGTATTAGACTTTGACTAAGTATAGAAAAAACTGTTAGACATGGTTTAATCCATAATGTAGGTCAAATAAAAAAATACTTACTTGAACTTGTCTTCTGAGTTTAATCATATGTTCAGCAGTATCAGGTCCCAGGTGTTACAATTGTGTATCATTTTATTTCTCAGTGGTATTATCAAACTAAAGATTTCTTATAATTACCTAATAAACTTCCTCCAACAAGGAGCTAGATTATAGATCCACATAACAATATATTTGATACATTATTAGTTTTCTGTATTCTATGAGTAAGCTCTAAAAATACTTGCCAATCTTCTTCATATATAGCTCTTTTACTATTAAATCTAAGCTGCTATTTTTTTTTTCTTCACCTGATATTGTCAGAGCTCTGTAATGCAGTATAATTGTCTTACTGATGCTATTAAGAAAAAGTAAGTAGAAACAAAACTACTGTTGCTAATGCAAAAGGTAGATAAGACCCTTTCTACTTATAATTAACCCTCATTGCCACAAAAATGTACTTTATGCTTTGTTTTTTTACTTTAACTTCAAAATATTTTCGAGTTACTGTTAGTGAAATCAAAGCTGGTAATTGCTGACTATGTCACAAATCAAGGTGTATATGTACACGATTTTATTGTAATAAAAAATAAAGATGCCTATTTAAATTCTCTGGGTCATGGCAACCACAAAATAGGCTTAAATTGGAAGGCAGCTTGATTTTGCCTCAGTTTTTTTTTTTTCTGAAGACATTTCAACTCCTATCCAGGAATATTTGTCAATTCTGTTGGCTTGCACCAGACCAATCTGTGGTTGGAGCTCTGATGTATTTAAACAGATTGGAGGTCCATTCTCCTAAACACATTCCGAATCAGATGCAAATCAAATAGCCAGCCCTTGTTCTTCTTGATTGTTGGAGCCTTTTCCTAGATCTGAATGAATGAAATACTCTCATTGAATACTTTGTTCTGTACAAACTTGAATGTACTGAATACACAATCAAACAAAAATCATCAATGGGAATCAAATGTTTTAACCAAAGGAGGCCTGGATTCGGAGTCATACACAACAGTGGGAAAAACACACTAGGGGCTGATCCACCTTTAATGTAACATCGTTAAATCAGGTCAATATGAGGCTTAATATAGTGTGCAGAATCCTACAACTCCTGGGCATGCCCCTGTTGAGGTGGCGATTCCCCCAACTCCTGGACAGTCTGTGTGGCAATGTGATGGTAGATGGATCGAGACATGATGTCCCAGATGTGCTTAATCGGATTAAGTCTGGGGAACGGCTGTCCAGTCAATAGGTTCAATGCCCTCATTTTGCATGAACTGATGACAAACTCCAGCCACATGAGGTCCAGCATTGTCCTGCATTAGGAGCAACCCAGGGCCAGCCACACCATCATATGGTCTCACAAGTCTGAGGTCTGAGGATCTCATCTCAGTACCTAATGGCAGTTAGGCTACCTCTGGTGACCTCATGGAGGGCTGTGCCGCCCTCTAAAGAAATGCCACCCTACACCGATACTGACTGAACTGGTCATGCTGAAGGATGTTGCAGGCAGCAGATCGCTGTACACAGAGTTTGCAGACTCTGTCACATCTGTCACATGTTCTCAGTGTGGACCTGCTTTCATCTTTGAAGAGCATATGGCACCAGTTTTTAAGGTGCCAATCCAGGTGTTCTCTCGCAAATGCCAAGCATCCTGCACAGTGGTGAGCTGTGAGAAAAAACCCCATCAGTGGACATCGAGCCTTTATACCATCCTCATGGAGTCAGGTCTCTGGCAGTGCTCCTCCTGTTTAGAAGTAAGGTTCCTGCTGCTGGGTTGTTGCCCCTATAGCCTACTGGCCTGTCTGCTGGTAGCGCATCCAGCCTATGGACAATACACTGGAACCGTTAGCGAACCTTTTTTTTTTCACAGCTCGCATTAATGTGTCATCCCTGATGAGCTGTAGCTTCCATATCCAATCCAATTCATTTATTTAGCGGAATTTAACAGCAAAACGTTTCAAAGTGCTGCACACGCAAAAATAACAGGTACCTCCACCCCTAGGTAAGTATAAAACAATGAATATAAATATTATAAATGCAAGTGTGTCTTACTAATTGGCAATAATTTCCACCAGTTGTCAATTTCATTTGCAGCAGCAACAGCATGTGAAATTAATTGTCAATCAGTGTTGCCATGTAGAAGACAGTTTGATTCAATAGAAATTTGATTTAATTCAAGTTATATTGTGTTTTTTACTTATTTCCTTTATTATTTTGAACAGTGTACATTAGGGCTCCAACCACAAATTGCTCTTGTGGCCAACGGAATTGACAAAGACTCCTGGATGGGTGTCAAAACTGGGTGTCTTCAGAAAAAACTGAGCAAAAGTCTAGTTGCCTCCAATGTAAGCCGATTTTGTGGTTAAAAAGTGAAGTGATAAAGCCTCTGTCACACCTTGATGATTTAGCCAGCATATGCCTGATGTACGAAAAATCTTGCAAATTCGCTGGCAATATGTCGGATAAAGTATGGGTCAGTTCTGTAAAAGTTATGAGCACTCTGAAGCACGCTGGCACACGTCGACATACGGCAAGTATGTCTTGATGTATGCCAGCGTATGCTCATAGAGGTACGTCAGTCATAAGCTACAGGTTAGTTATTTTATTGTTGACATAAGTTAAGTGTAAGTTACTTATAAGACGTTGCATCTAGCTTATCCAAAACCTACGGGTAACTTGTGCATAACTTATGCGTACCTCATCAAGAACTTATCTCCAACACATATCCATGTAATTGACGTGTTCCAGATGACTGCTGGACGCGTTTCTAATTTACAGCTAGTATATATTGGCATATTGGCAGCATTTTGGAATAAAAAGGGGTTCACAGGAGGACAATGTCAGTACTCCTCCAGACTTCATCCCTATCATAGGAGAGTGTGCATAAGTTAGACTGTTGTCTGACGTAAGTTCTGGACTCGTTAAGGATACTCTGTGTATATGCCCAAAATTGAAAAAATATACGGAAAGCTCAGCAGATGCCAGCTTTTTAGAAGATTCTGGGATGTCAGATGTATGCTGGCTAAATTGTCAAGGTGTTACAGGCGCTTTAGGTATTATTTACATTTAGATTATAATGTGTCAACAAATTAATTGTAACAGGATTTATATTTGTGTCTGTAACAGATTTCATATTAAACTTGTCAGCATAATGTATTATGTGACCTAATTTAGCTATCAAGCCGGTTGCACTCAGAATTTCCAACCTTATCACTCATATCACTTAATACATCTTGTATTACTATATTATACATACTGTATATATGTGCGTGTGTGTGTGAAAAATCTGTTAAAATAAAGTGTGAGATAAAAAAAAAAACTGAACACAAGAGAGCTAGGAATTCAACCAAACGTTTATGTAGTGGTGAAATTATACAGTACCCTGGCTGTAATTAGCTGCTATTAACTCAAATGCAGTTCACTAGCAAAATGCTTACCTGTCTTGTTTCATAGATGATCATTGTGGTTAAAATAGTCACTTCATCTTTTCTTCTGCTTTTCCAATAACTGACCACAGTTTAATGTTATCCATTTCCACAAAAAAAACTTGAAAAGAAACAGTAGGAGTCTTACAAACTGTAGTGCATATTATGCTGGGAATACAGATGACAGGTCATCCATCATGAAATATAGAGGCCTGGCTACAAAGGGGTTTTTGTAGCCAAAACCTTTAAAAACACAGAAGGCCAGTTATGATTTATTATTGTTTCAAACATTTATAGGTATTGTTGCCTTCAGTCAATTTCTTTTTTAAGCGTTCTTTATTCAGCAGACTCAAGCTCATATTAAAATAGTTATACACATAGTTAGAAAAAATCTAAAATATTCTCTTTTTCATTTGAATAAGCCTTGGACCTTATTTTTTCCATGCTGCTAGCCTTTACCATTTAGTCCTTGTTCCTCTCAGTCTTTTATTAACTTTGTTTTCTTACTTCTCTTGACACCTTCTCACAATTTATTGCCTTTGTTTAAGTAGTTGCTTTTTTTCATTCTCTTATCTCTTGCCCATTTATTGTACTCACTATCTTTTTATTTCTTCCAAAGGAGCTTTTTTTCATTGGATCCTTTACACCAGGGGTGCTCAAGTCCAGTCCTCAAGAGCTACTATCCTGCAACTTTTTGATGCAACCATTTTTAACACACCTGAATCAGATGAGTGGCTCGTTACCATGCCTCTGCTGAGCTAAATGAGGGGATTGAGCCTTTTGATTCAGGTGTGTTAGAGAAGAGATGCATCGAAAAGTTACAGGATGGTAGCTCTTGAGGACTGGACTTGAGCACCCCTGCTTTACACCATCCATTTCACTTTTTTAAAATCCAATTTTGACTACAATTTCCTATTTACCCAAACCATCTCATAATTATCCAACCTGTCAGTTTTTCCTTGATTAACCATGAGCTAAATGTCCACCACATTTCTGCCCTTCACATGAAAACAGATACACAGACATCTACCAAACATCAGTCACCACAAAGGGTGGTGGGGACTAAAAATAGTTTGCTATTCTCTCTGAGGAAGCCTATTCATCCAGTCTCAGAGGACCCGCCAAACACTTTCACAAGCCAACATGTGAAAAAGTACACATATTAGTAAAAGTAATACCAAAATTGCATCGGACGACAAGCAATATTTGCATAAATAAATGCATGATTTGAAAGAGGCTCTTTAAAGATTTAGAGAAAAAAAACATGCAGTATGAGTTATTACCCTGATTTAAGGCTGACAAGTGCATCCACAACACCAGTTTGATGGTACTTCACCATGTACTGGTGCATGGCAGGGTAGTTCTTTCTGATGTTCCTCTCAGTGGATCCATTTGGGACAGTCCCAAAGCGGAACGGAGGGGAGTATGCATATGGATTCTGAAACTGTAATGGGAAAGATAAAGAAGAAAGGGGCAGATAATAAAGAACTGGTGAGTTTACAAAATGAAAATCTTTAGTGCAATAGTGGAAGAAGTTAAATAACTACTTTTTAAAGGAAACAGATCAAATTCATGGTCAGGGATTAACAAAGCTTTCCCAAACCCATATATTCACAGATATCTAAGTATCTCCACAGAGCTCTCTTTCTCTTTGCTCTCTCGCCAATTATATTTTTCCTGATTTAGTCAGGAGATGTATGTTGTAGTTTCGTGCATAAGAAAAAAAAAAATTAATCATTCACTTGGTCCTTTAGACCAGTGTTTCCCAACATGGGATACTCCTTCCCTTAGTGTCCCCTAGTGCATTACAAGGGGTACAGAATAAATATAAAAAATTTTTACGTTACAAAATAAAATAGGGCTGGGATTGGTTTTGCTTTCTGAGGACCAAATAAAAAGAAAAATTAAGAAGTTTTTATTAATCAAAAAGTAGGATTTTCTCATATGTCTGAGTCCATCTTGAGCTGTGACAAACATCCAAACAAAGCAGAGGAACAGACTGGAAGTAAAGAACAACATGGTATCTGCTTTTTTCCACAGTAAGCTATCAGAGCTCATCAAAGCATCTCACATGTCTTGATGAAAACAAAGTCAGTCTGACTAAGATTTTTGTTCTGTATTCTGTTTCCAATTCATCAAGTTTAAATGCTATAAGAGAGTTACTAAGAGGAGCTCCAGATTGATAAATGGAGGTTTATAATAGGAGTTTATTTTGTATTCATTTTAATTACTGAATTCCAGGCAACATATTAATGAATTGGAAAACATAAAATTATGAAAACTAAATGATCAAATTAAAAGAAGTAAAGTAAAATAGTCTTTATTTCAGTTATTGTTCATTCCTCTTTTATCAATACCTTTGATCGAGAGGGTACTCCTGATAAGAGAAGATGCCCCAAGGTGTATACAAGTCAAAAAGGGTTAGGAAACACTGCTTTGCACAAATTAGGTTGTAAAAGCCAACATTGCATGTCCGTTTGACGAGGATCTTATTGAAAAATCTTATATAAGAATAATCGTCCTTATTTCACATGGAATTAAATATTTATATAGCAGTAAGAGGGTTCTACAACTGAGTTGATACTATATATTATCTGTTTTTGGTTTGTTTATTATAAGCCATGCGCGGATCACTTTTTTATCTAATTATTCTTACATTATATGAACTACTGAAATTATTTTGAGATTACAAGTAAAATAATAATTAATATTAATTCAGATATCATAAATACATATTCAGTCAAACTGATAAATATCAAAATGGGCACTTAAAATGTGTAAACATTTCTAGGTGTATATAAAACTTAATTCTTACTAGTACAATTAGTTTTGTTTTTACTTTACGAAAAGTATTTTTGTGCAGGCAAAAATGTATTGTGATTTAGATTTTTGAAATTGTAACTAATCTACAAACGTAACAAAACAGAGCAGAGTGCTTTTATTAAAGGTATTGTTAGTAAATTAATTATTAAATTAAAAATGTATAAATCTTTTCCTTCACCATCTTACTCTCCTTTGCAGATGTAGTCTTGTTGCTCTGTCTTTTAAACACATTATGCTTTTTCTTTCACTTCAATAAAATCTCTAGCTCCAGTGGAGTGAAATAGGCACTTCCTGTTCCCTTTCATCATGGTGACTTGTTGAATTGGGGCTCCACTAAAAAATGCCTTTTCATATGTACACACATGTGAAACTCTGAGTGGGCCTTGGAGTTGGAGTTGATTGAACTAATTCGTAGTAGCCATTGTGAAACTGAAAACTCAGAATTTCCAACCTTAGGCTAAATCAATTTAGGGTTGAGGATTTGAATATGAATTGTTCCTTCTTGGCTTTTCCTGTCCTCTTCGTTTTTTCTGCTTTGAGATAGAGATAAAGTTATCACATTCAGCCACGTGGGGTCCCGTGGTCGCCGCCATCTTGATTACAGGTCGCCCCCCCCATTTCTCTTTGTTCCCCTCACCGCGTGGAGAACAAAGGGGGGTGGTCCCCATTTAGCCACAACCATTCACACACATCACTACATTGCCAGGCAAAAAGGGTTTTTTGCTGAACGCTGCTATTGTTAATACATGTTCAATAATTTACCAATACTAAGCTGGATGTATTAATGTTCATGATCGATTGCACTATACCTGCTGCTAGCGGACATTAGTGAATGTATTAATATCTGGCATATTTTGGACAATTTCAGACGCCAGTAATAGTTTATTTCGTTGTTTCTATCTCGTTTAATTCTTTATTTTCGATTTTTCTTTATTTTTCTTTTGAACTAGTCATTTAATCTACCTCGTGTTTATTTTTCTAGTAGTGTGTAGTGTTTGCATAGATGTTAGATTTCTGTAATCCTGAATTATTAGAATGAAGACATCATTGGTTAATCTGTAGTGGTTTTGGTCGTTCATATAACGGAGGGTTTATTACTCAGAGTAAACTCGATTCCTTTTGGTAATAGTGCGAATAAACAGAGATAGAAGGTTCTTTATTGATAATTTAATAGCTTTGCTGATAACTTAACCGGGGCCACTAGACTGGTGGATACCTGGATTTTAACAGCTGGTCCTGGAACCCTCCAGTTGTGGATCAACAACCGGTAAGTAGATAACTCAGGGCTATAATTATCCACCTAAGAACACTAAATTGATTTTGCCTTCGATGTTGAATAGGATAATAATTAACTATAACTCCAGTTCTAGTTAACCATCTATTCATTATCTGCAGGACATTACTTTTGCACAACATATTGGCGTCCCTGGGTGGGCCTGAGACTGAAACTTCCGTTATATGAATAACAGATAAATCATCCAGAAATTAAAAACAGCTAAAAGTGCTACTACTGCTAAAATAGACCGGGTGTATTTGTGGTGTTGCAGTGACGGAGTCCAGCGGGTTTGAGTAGATTTAACGGCCAGTTAATTGAATCTCAGATTTATAATCCAATAGAGAATTGGTGATTTAGAACTTCAGCTGCGTTGTTTGTTGGTTGCTGCTATTCTGAAGCCGTGAGATCAAATTGTGGATTGGTGCAGCACAAAAGGGTTCTTAAAGTCACAGCGACTGGGTCAGTGTTGGCCACGTTGGCAGAGATTGTCATCTCCCCCTAGTGGTAGCTTATGTAATTACAATTACTCAGCTGGTTCCAGTGTTTGAGACCCAAATTGTGTAGTGCTCTCTTTGGCGCCATCTGGTGGCGTAAGCGTGTTATTGCAACAACAGTTTGAAAATTCCCAGGCGAAGGCACCTTGTCTCCCCCTGGTGGTGGCTTCTGAAATTGCAGCTGAATGGTGTAGAGAAGGAGTGACTTGTTTTTCTTTTTTTTTCTTCTTAAATTTTATTTTTCTTTCTTTCATGCTGTTTCACTATTGCTTTCTGTGCTGTGAACAAACAGTGTTTTAACAATTGGAGAGTGGTTAAACTTAAACTGCAGGTATAAAGAAACAAAACCTCAGGTTTAATTGTGCAGCTGCTGCCACCTTTTATCACTTCTGCCAGGTTTTCTAACACTGCGTTATCCATTTTGTGTGCAAGAGTTGTTTGTTAGCAGTGTTCTACACATATATACATACACACGCACACATCTATACACATATACACACTTTCGAACCAGCCAATCTTACTTACTGAAAGGTGAGTGAATCAAACCATTAGAAACCCACAGATTTAAAAGCAAATCGGCAACCTGTCAAATTAAAGAGGAGGTCGCACGTTGAAAGCAACCTGCGTATTGTTTTATCCGCACGTTCTACACCTGCCGTATAGGTAACGAACCTATAGTAAACGGAGCGTGTTTGTTTAGTGCGTGTAGTGCTAACACGGTTAGAGATTTGTAGCCAGTGCGCTGCGTTTCCTGCTTTGTGTCCCCCCCCCAGCGAATCAAATGGATAGGGATCAGGATCAGCAAGCAGTGGGAGCTTCTGCGGCCTCCATCGAAATGGACGCCCAGAACTTAATAAGCTCATTGATTTCGTTGTCAGAAGACGAATACAGAGCCCTTGGTAGTTTGGATCTAGAGGCTTGTGAAAGCGAGATTGAGAAGCTAATGGAGTCAACTAAGAAGCCAGGGAAAGAGATGCTTATTGCAAACGTGCTTGGTCAACTTGCGTTGCTGTATCAGAGGAAGTCCCAGTTAGAAACAGAACTGCGCGTGAAGGCCGAAAAACTGCGTGCAGAAGCTGAAGAAATGCGTGCAGAAGCCGAAGAACTGCGTGCGGAAGCTGAAGGAAGGGCAAGAAGAGCAGAAGAGAATAGGATGGTGACCTCTAACTTCCTGGAAGAACGGCAAAGGGGGGTTGCTCCCTGCCCACAGGATGAAGGGTCAGACGAGGGGTCAGACGAAGAGTCAGACGAAAGATCAGAAGAAAGTGAACCCATCCCTGCTTTAGATACGTTGGATAAATGGGGTACCAGGGGAGATCCTCCTCTGGCAGCCACAGAGCAGAGAGCTAGCATGAGGGAGCAGGGAAGGTTCGGTAGTGTAGTGCGTAGTTCCACAGAGCAGAGAGCTAGCATGAGGGAGCAAGAAAGGTTCGGTTGTGTAGTGCGTAGTTCCACAGAGCAGAGCAGCTTTAGACCACAGAGGATGCAGGACCTGAGCGGCATGCCAGGCCCCAGTTATAGAGCAAAAAGCAGGTCAGACCAAACACGAAGCACGAGCTGCTATGACACACCCTTGCCACAAAGGCAGCTGTACAGCCAACCATGGGACACTGGTGAGCGTTACCGCCCTGAGCCGCGGCCATGGCCTAAAGGCTACGGAGCAACGGGCTCACCAGTGTAACATGAGCGGTCTCACCTGCCTCCAAGGAGGTCAGAGCAGAGCTTTCCATCCTACCGCGACCATAGCTGGCTAGAGCTCTCAGATGAGGATTCAGATGGTCTAGCCCCCGTCCCAGAACAGGGATTACGGATGCGACAACTTGAATCCCTCGCCCACGACATAGAGCGTTT